TTCAGGTTCATGTATATATATTCAAAGAGAAGATCTAAAAATGCTTTGGATATGTTTTGTTTTTTGACAACATGTTTGTTTATATTAGTAGCAACATGCTTTATAAAATTTGAAAAAGCAAGCTAATTATTTGTTGCGTTGATTTCTACTAATTTGGTACATAAGTAAGTGAGGTTGTTTTGTTCCATGCAGTTATAGTTGGAAGCTGGGGGGGGGGGGGATGGATATTTCATGGCATTCAAAATATAGTAAAAAGATATTTATTTTGTTAATGGGTAAGTAATATTATGTTTTTTCTTCAAAAGGCCTAGTACATAGATAAGTATTATCGCTTTTAGTAAAATAAAGTATCAAATTTCATTATCGTTATTGTGATGAATACTGTCTATAACGGGTATGTGTTGGATTGCGTATTTTGATTAACTTACCACCCTAAATAATTAGACAATTATAAGGGTGTGGTCATGAATTTTGTCGGTGATGGGCTTCGTTGCTCCCTCAGTGAAATTTTCAATTCGGACTCTAAATACCTTCTCTGAAAGAAAGATGACATTTATTACATAGCTGAATCTGTGATAAAATGAAATAAATAAGAGAGAAGCGAACCTAAAAATCCGCTTTTGAATACACACGTTTCAGGTGTCGAACATGGGCAGAAGGTATTGATATTTGTTGCTTCTATTCAATGCATAATGACCAAAACTAACTCTGATTAGATTTTACCTCAGCTTCAACCACTCCGATATTTAATTCGTAATAAAATTCATCAAGAAGAAGAGTCTGGATTGGTGGTGATGAACAAATTCAACATAAGTGAATAATTGAGAACTTTGGAAGTGAAGAAAGATCCAAAAATGGACTAAAGAAACACACATATACATAGTCGAGGGAAAGGGGAAAATGGAAAGGTAAAAGAGGAATCATGTGATATGTTGAAACTTGAAAACAAGAAGGCAAAGGGTGACGGTGGAAAGGAAGAAAGTGAAAGTGATGGAGTAATGAATAAACTATGGTAATCCCTCACATGTTCTATATAACCATTCCAAAAGTCAATAAACTACTTAAACAAACCACCATAGGAAAGGGGGGGAAAAGAGCAGTAAGCACAATGGCGCGCTCGAGTGTCGTCCCTATGGTTTTGATCAGTCACATTTCAACTCCAATACTATATCAATCGGGTAGTGATGAGGTATAAAGAACATGAATCAGACAAAAATCCTAATGCATTAACACGAAAATTGGTATGTAAGTGATACACATCTCGGCAATCAACAAGGTGAAAATTTGACTCGGGAAAAAAAAGACCCTAATGGTGAGGCTATGCGGTATAGCTACCATATTGGCGGTACATAATCCTCTAATAAGATGCATACAGTGGTACTACGTATGTGTTGTATTGTTGTCATGCGGACGCATCTTTAGAGTATGATGTGAATAACCATTGGTAGTTTGAGTCACGATTAATAATAAAAGAATCAATCTATATATTTACCTCCCCTCAAACCCAACCGTTAGTAGTCAGTGAAGATGCAAAACCCTCCCTGAGAGTGCTTGGGATTTAATGATGCACAAACTCGTCGCATCTTGTGTTCGAGTCAAGTGCTAGTATATGGGATCGACCAAGATTCAAAAACACACAACCTGTCAGTGAAAGCCTGGTACCATATTTAGAGTACTACTAGCTGGTTCATCGATCTCAATATAGCAAATTGATATAACAGATATAAAAATTGAATATTATATCAATTCTACACTTATCCATTTTTGTAATAATGCTTGAATGAAACATCCAAATTGTCGAATTGTCACATGCATTGCATGGCACATGCACAACAATTAGAAGGAAGAAATTAAAGACGATCGACTACCTATTGAGGACTAACTCACTCACTATACCAAACTATAGATACCTTAAGATGAACTTCTCCAAACAAGTTGAGTACCCAAAAAAAGGAATCGTGAAGTTCGGAAGTCTCCATCCAACTCCAAGAATCCACCCACCATCATTATATAGCTTTAACTCAATTATTAAATTACGATATTAATATAATATTGTGGACAAAAATTATCTCTTCTTTCACTTTGGGCTGCAATAAACAAAAAAATAAGCACCAAAATTTAACCCAAATAAAAAGGGAAATATCAGAATGTGGAGAGGATAAGACATATAAGTTACAGATATTTGTACCCAACTCCATCTTCTTTTTTTGAGATGGAACATGGTGCCAAACACTTCCTTTGACAAGTCGAGCGAGAGAAGTGACATCTAGCCAACCTAATGTACAGATTGATCCCAAAGTAATGCATCAACACCACCAATTAACAAGTCGAGGGTAACACCCTGTTTGGGAAAGGGGTGAAAGTTGGCAAAAGGAAGATAATAAAAGGGAGTGGAGAACAGGAAGCTGAAAGGGAAATCAGCCACATCTCATTAAGGCAATTAAGGTTGAGAAGATTGCTTAATTGAGTCCGGTTTTCCTAGAATCTTTTAATTCAATATAGACAATCGAACTACTCTATATCGTGATGGATGTGTTAATTCATCTCGATCTGATAATCGCAACTTAATATGTATGGTGTCGACATGCCGATCAGACTTCCCCAACCAACCTGACAAAGTTATATCCATCCAATAAAGTGTCGGAATCAATACTTCTTGTCAAACTTATCTTTCCTCAATGGAACGGAAACTACAAGTATTTAAAAAAAAACAATTGATGATATTAACTCTACACCTTCTTTATCTTTTGTTAACCATCTCGATCTGACAACCCCAACTTAATTAACATGCATGTTGTAAGCAGTAAGCACCTCGACCTGACTCCACCAACTAACCTGATCAAGTGATATTCGTCCATTTAAGTGTCAAAATCAATACTTTTTGTCGAACTTATCTTTCCTCCTAAATGAAAAACCAAACTTATTTTCTTAACCCAGTCATATTAACCTACCTCTCCTTATATTTTTACTATTTCACCTTTTTTGTCATTGCTCATGTACGAAATAGAATGATTTGAAGGGGGACAAGAGATGATATAGAAAAAAGTACCACAAGAGATTTCATTCTAGGGCTCTCTATAGCAGCCCTCTTTGACTATTTCTTCACTTCTGATCGGGCTCCCCAATTATTAATGTAAGTTGTGAGCAGAACACTGAAAACGAAGTTAAGAGAAGAAATAAAGGTGATTTGGTCAACTTCACATCTCCTATACTCGTGCAAAATTATGATGTAATTTGTGGCTGAAGAAACTGGAAATTGCAGCACAAGAAAACTCATGGCTAGTAAATATGGTTGTTGATGAGCTGAGCTATTCATGAGCGGCTCGGTCTTGAACTCGATAAAAGCTCGTTCGATTAAAAAAAGCTAGGCTCGTTAATAAACGAGCCGAGCTTGAGCTCTACCTTGTTCGGCTCATGAAGCTCGTGAACTAGCTCGTTAAATACAAGTCATGAACTGTCTCATTTTGAGCTTATGAGATGTTCCAACATTATGACTAGAGAGCCAATTCGACTACAGTTAATGAGAAAATCAATCTTTATTTTATGAGTTGGTTTGTTAATGATGCATATAATTATTAAATTATATATAACCTCATATGGTGTTTAATACATTGAGTATATGTAAGCAAATATGCCTCATATATGACATAACATTAGGTAATCACATGTATCACATATGATATATAAATATTATGATATTTATATTATAAATTATCTTAGAGTTGAGTTCGAACCGAACTTTCGATCTTAATTATGTGTCAAGATTTAATAAATGAGCTGACTCGTGTTCGACTCGATTTGGCTCGTTTATAAACGAGCCGAACATGAACAAGGCAAAGCTCGGCTCGACTCGGCTCATTAACAGCCCTACGTCAATCAACCATTCCTTCAAATCTCAACCTGAGATACAACTCACAATAACATGTGTTCGCTCAACATCTTCCGCACCCCCTCCCCCTACTCGAGCGATATGATAGTCCTCGGTCACAATACTGACTCACTTTTGATCTGGTGAGTTTAGTCCACATTTGATTTCATCATCCTTGATTCGGATTTCTGAGGACGATTGTGTCTCAAGCGAATCAGGGTTTACCCTTCGACTCGGATTTCTGGAACTCTCTTATCGCCCCCTAACTACATATGACTTTATCCGAGTCGAAGGGTAAACCCTGATTCGCTTGAGACACAATCGTCCTCAGAAATCCGAATCAAGGATGATGAAATCAAATGTGGACTATCCAATAGTCAAGAAATTATTTAGAGAAAATGTAGATGAAATACCCACAAAGTGTATTTATTGTAGATCGTAGAAAAGAAAGGGTCACATGGGATGTGGGTATTAGACTATTAGCTAGGGTTACGACAAAGTCTCTTCTTGACAAATCGCGGGAACAAGACAACACTTGGAATAAGGCAACATGGAGCATCCTCACCAATTTCTTCCATTACTGGACAAAATGGTCATTTCGTACAAAAATCATCACAACCCAACAAAGAGTGAAGAAAGAAAAAGGGAAACAACCAAACCCATGAAAAAAGGGACAAGTTATGGTTGCAGAGCAGACGGTAAGAAAAAAATCCATAAAAATTACAGATGCTAAGTAAAAAAAAAGACTTATTTATTTCACACTGGGAAATTACTGTGTTCATTAGTTCAAATTTGATCCTTATTATTATATGATAGAATATATAATTAGAGACACATAAGCTCCAAGGGTAAAAATAACTCAAACGGGGGAGAATCACCAACATTTTTAACCTTTTATTTATCTCCTCCCCCACGTCTAATTTTTTTTACCCTGGCCTCTGCCCTTTTCACCCCCGTTGCTGCTGTGCTGTGGCCATTTCCCCTAAATTTCTAGGCCCTAATGGTAAAAAAAAAAAAACACAAAAGAAGACCTGACTGACCGACGAACATCACAAAACACTGAACTATATAGTAAAAATGAAACCCAGAAGACCAAAATGTACTTCTCCTTCCTCCTCCCTTGCTTGATTCTTCACTGGAACCAGATCGACGACACGTCCTGCTGCCGAGGCAGCTGATGATTGTCCACTCCCAGACCTTGTAGATCGATGTCGAATGGCGAAGCAAACATCAGGTTGAAGTTGTTGTTGTTGTTGTTGATGTTGTGGTTGTTGCTGCTGATGCCCATGTTGGTGGATTGGACTTGTTCGAAGCTGGCAAGGTTGGTGTCGAATGGAGAGCTGACTGGCTTGAACCGGTCGAGGAACTGACTGCTGGTCTCCGGTGTGAAGATGGATTGCTGATGGTTGTTGTTGTTGTTATTGTTGCTGATGCTGTTGTTTGGTGTGAAGATGGATTGCTGATGGTTGTTGTTGCTGTTGCTGCTGATGCTGTTGTTTTGGAAGTTCGATTCGACGAACATGTTCTGGTGGAAGTAATTCTCAGCTGGCTGATGATGGATTTTCTGCTGCTGCTGCTGGTGCTGGAACAGACTGCTGATGGTCACGACGCTGTTCGCCGAGCTAGTTGTGGTGGTGGTTCTGCTGCAGTCGCTGGTGTCGTAGTTCGACATGAGGTCGCTGATCAGCTTGTGCCCATCTTCAGGAACCCCGGTCAGGTCGATTGGGGCTGCTGCAGTAGACACCGAGGTCACAGCAGGAGACAGGATCGGTTTGGGCTGCGGCTGCTGCTGAGGGAAGATCACCGGTTTGACCTCGTCGACATGGAAGTTCGAGCTGGTGTAACCGAGCTTGTAAGGGCAAGCCAGCTGATGGTTGTCCCTTGAGATCCGATCACAGAATCCCAGCCTCACCTGGCTGTAAGGACACTGCACGAACTCGCAAGTGTACAGCTTCTGATCCATCATCATGTTACCCATCTCACCAATTCCAGGTTGCTTCCTCTTCAAGACATTGCTGCCGGTAACAACCTCGCCCTTGATCCCCGAGAAACCGCCAATTCCAAAGCCAGCCATCGCCGGAGGCTTGATCTCGCGAACATCGAAGCTCGACTCATCGTCCCCGCCTTCCACATCATACTCATTGCAGTCATTGATCACCAGGGAGCCGCCGCCACTCCCACCCTCCAACGGCGGGCAGAAGTTCGGGTAGAGCTCCCGAGCCAGCTTCTCCTCCTGGTTGATGATGGCCAGCCACGTCGCGCTCTCCTTCGCCGTCATCTTGTCCTGCAGGCACTTGGACTGTCGGACGAGCTTCCTGATCTTGTTGATGTCGGGGAACATGTGCTTGATCACGGCCGTGAGAACACCGACCTTCCACGCCTTCTTCAAATCGTGAGGCTTCTTGTACGGCGGAGACGACGACGAGCCTTGCTCCTTGGGAAGCCCCAATTGCGGCCACCATTCCTCACTTCCGTTCGGCCACCACGGCGGCGGGACGCCCTTCTCCAGCGGGAACCGCCGCTGAGGTGGATCGCAGTGCTGCATAAGGGCGGAGAGCAGAGAGCCCAGAGTGGTGTCCTGCAGCTCCTGCAGAGTGTGGGGAGTTGGGCCCATGGAATCCGGCCCGTCGTTCCTTCCGGTGATGGAGTTGTCGGCCTGGTATTTGGCAATCGCCGCCGGCCCATTTCGGTCAAATCGGACCTTATCTTTCCACCATTCCCTCAAATTGTCCGATGCTCCGGTGACCGGCTTGCCCTTCTCCGGGATGATTCCGTAGACGAACCCCTGGGCTTTGCAGACCTCCATCATCTTCAGCATGTACTTGAGGATCCCGTCTTGAGCTCTGGACATTTTTTTCCGGCGAGCTTGCTCCTGGGACTGCCTCTGCTTGGCCACGTCGACTCCTTCTTTGGTCTTGCTCTGTTCCCGCAGCTTTTTCAGGCGCATCTTGTCCCTCCACATGCGGCGCTCCAGCTCGTCCACGTCGATCTCGTCGTCGCTCAGGTCGTCGTCCGCGTTCGGATCTGGGTCGGCTTGTGGGGCGACCAGATCTTCCGCGGTGGAGGAGGCGGCGGCGCCGCCCGTGTGATGCGCGGAGGAGAAGAAATCGATGTCGCTACAGAATCCCAAGTCTTCAAACATCATCATCTTCGTCTTCTTCTTCTTCTTCTCAATCAATTGATTGATTCTTCACTTCTTCACAGAAACTGAAATTGACCAGAAACCCATCATCACCAACACATCAATTATTGACCTGATTATTGACAGATCGGTAAAAGGAACTAATAGAAAGATGGAGCCACAGATCGGAAGTGAACAGAGGTTTTACGGAAAGAAAAGAAAAAACAGAGGTTTCATGTCAAATTGATTGAAATCTCGATATGCACGACAGCAAGAAGGCCGAATTCCAGAACAAAGTAAGAAGATGGATGGATCTACAGAACCCAATTGAAATCACCCTCAGAAATCAACAAACTAATCCAACCAAATCAAAGTCAAAGTAACCAAAACAGAGAACAACAGCATAATAATTTACTAAAAGAAGAAGCAAAATTATTAGAGAAACAAAGAAGAAGCAGAGGGATGGATAGACCAAAAAGGGATCATACCAGAGAGAGAGAAGAGGTAGGCTGGTCCACGACTATTCTTCCTCTTGGTAACTCAGTTTTTTCTTCAGCCGTCAACACAGAAAGGGGGGATGGATACGAAATTGAAGGAAGAAGAGAGGAAACAGGCGAAAAAGAAAAAGACAAATACAAAAACAAACCCAGTACTAACTATTAATTAAATACTCCGATGAAACTTTATCTGCTCTGTTCTTTCTATCTCCTCTCCGTTTATTGGCTGAAAGCGATGATTGTGATGGGGGTGGAAATGGAAGAGAAGAAGAAAGAAAGAAAGATGGATAGAAATGAAAGGGGTTTTGGGGTAGTGTGGATATGAAGAATGGTGGTGGCGATGGCGGTGGTGGGATTTTGGGGAAAGGGGGAAAGAGAGAGAAAGGAAAGAGAAATTTTTGGGGAGGAAGAACCTTTGTAGTAGGGATGGTGGAGGTGGGGAAGAAGAAATATTAGTGCTGTTGCTGTTAATGGTGGCAAAATAAAACAAAACAAAAAAAAGCTTCAAACTTTCAAGCAATTAAATAATGGGCAAGCAAAAGCCAGCCTACCCAAAAGCAGGGGAAATCACTGGTGCAACCCAAAAACTATTTCTTTTCTTTATAAAAACAGAGCATCCATGGAAGGAAAGAGGAAGGAGGAAGAAGAAAGGAGAGGTAAGGTAATAGTACTGAACTACTGATGAATAATCCAAACCAAACCCGATATGCAAATATGAAATATGAAAAGAAAAGGTGAAAGCTTTTTGGATTTTGGAGGGGATGGGATAAGCTGTTTCTATCTCACTTCCATGGCGGCCCTCAGGGTTTTATATTGGTGATGGTGACGACAGAAATGGACAGTGAGAATGGAAGATGATAAGCTCCAAAACGAGTTTTGGTAAAAAAATGAAATTGAAAAAAAGGGGCTTATTATGGGGGTTTGTTAATGTTGTCATTAAGGCTAAAACGAGAAGGGTAATGAATGAGGATGGGAAATTGGCCGTGTGTCAGTGTGTGTAAGTTTCCTTTTTCTTTCATTTGGTGCAACATTAATTTTGTTCCCACTGTAATTTGGATAAACAAATCTTTGTGTGATATGATTTGGTTTTTCTCAAATTTCCTTGCCATATTTATGGATTTGGTATGGGGATTGTTGTTAGTGTGTTACCTTTTTTCCGGTTGTGAAGTATCGTAAAAATCGAGTGTTTATACGTATTTGTGTGACTTTCGATTGATCGATATTTCACAATACTATAAGAAGATAGATGAAAATAAAGCTTAATAGGTCTATGCCACCACCGTTGAATTTTATAATTGAGCATATATAAATTTAAGAAGAATTGATGTTTTAATATCGTATTCTTAGTTAATAAAGTAATATCGAGATATTGGTTATGTTTCTTTTCTCTTTCTTTGTGTGTTAGATGTTTAGTAGGTGTTCGAGTATAGTTGGGGATTGTTTGCGAGTTTATGTGACTTGAGTTGACACTTCATGTCTTCAAAAAACGGAAATAAAGAGGTCGATCGAGGAAAATTAACATTATTGAGGGAATATTTAGGATTTATTCTCATGGTTATTTTGGTAAGCAAGTACGTATCGATATACTTATTATGTTTTAATTTCTGTTTGTGTTACATGTTTAGAAATATTCAACTACAATAGTGGAATGTTTGTGAGTTCACGTGGCTTGGAGCTTAACTTTCGAAATGGAAATAACGAGATGAACGATGAAAACAAAGAAAGTGGTCAGCATTGCTGGAGAAAAGAAACTGATGTTTTGTTCCCATTTTGGTAAGCAATTACGTACATAGGAGCGTTAAAATTATATAATGTTTATAAAGGATTGATATCACATCAAAATTCTTATTCGTATACAACTGTAAATTGTTATGAAAGTATTTGAAATACCAAGAAAGTCAAGTGTTTGTACAGTTTGTGTGACTCTTAGTAGATCGATGTATCATAGCATATGAAGAATATTATTGAAAATAAAGCAGAACGATCGATACCACTATTATTTGGGATAAATAATTATGTATGTGTATTGGTTTTAGAAGGATTGGTGTTGTTATGATATATTAGTGAATTAACTAGTATCAAAATATTTGTTATGTTTAGTTTTCTTTTTGTGTTAGATGTTAGAAGGTGTTCGAGTACAATATTGGAATATTTTTTAGTTTATGTGGCTTTGAGTTGAACTTCGTGTCTTCGGAAATCACAATAACAAAATAATAAATGAAAACAAAGAAAGCGGTTATTAGAAGAAAAAAAACTTAGGGTTAATTCCCATTACGATTTTGGTAAGCAATTATATACCGAGATACTTGTTATATTTCATTTTCTATCTGTGTTAGATGTTTAGCAAGTCCTCAACTACAATAGTGGAATGTTTGTGAGTTATGTGGTTTGGGGTTGATAATTCATATCTTCTGCAATGGAAATAATAAGATGATTGATGAAAACAAAGAAAAGTCGTTAATGTTACCGGAGAAAAGAAATTCGGGATTCGTTCCCGCAATTATTTTGGTAAGCAATTAAGTAAATAAAAGCATTAAACTTTCCACCATGATTAATTTGGAATCGAGATTCTTATTCACGTATTTCTTTTGGTGAGTATCGTTTGAGTGTCCGAGTAATAACTAACAAGTTTGCATGAATTTATGTGACTTTGGTTAACACTTCTTAAAAAATGGTAATAGCAATACGATGGACGAAAACAAAGAAGGAGATTAGTTAGTAATAACTAACAAGTTTCTAATTTTGTTCTTGTAACTATAGTACATGAAGTTGAGTGCATATTGTTTCTCCAAAAAAAAGTTGAGTGCATATTGGTTTCATAATGACCTATAATGTGACCATCATATCAAATTAACTAGTCCGAGATATTGAACAAATGTTTCTGTTGTGTTGTCTGTTTAGCGAGTTTTCAAGTAACTTAAGGAAATATTTATACGAGCTTATATGGTTTTGAGCTAATGCTTCAATAGCAAGATGATCGATGAAACAAAGAAAGCGGTCAAGATTAATGAGCAAATATTAATTGGTTTGAAAATTATCCATATTGTCTAATATACTATAATAACAAATTAATTAGTATGAAGATCCCTATTATTTCCTTTTCTTATGTATATGATGTTTATTGAGTATTCAAAGATATTACAATAGAATGTTTCGAAGAGTTTATGTGACTTCGAGTTAATACTCGAGACTATATAAAACGTCAATATCATTTTGGTATATAACTTTTTCGTGTATGATGTATTAAGTTTAAGCAGTTTCATATAACTTATGGTCCAAATTAAATGTGGAATATCAGCATGCAAATCCAGCATTGTACAGTGACAAAATGCTTGAAGAGTGTTTTCGCCGTGTTCCGTGGACGAGGGGTAATCAAAACACCATCACACGTCCTTTTGTAGTAACCTAAAAGGAGGTTGGAACTTGTAGCAACTCAAAATGGTAAACCTAACTTTGGGTAGTAAACTCATTGGTTGAACCGGTGGTTGAGATGGGTTTGTCTTTCAGAGTTTGATAATCCATCTCCTTAATCAAGTTGATTTAAACTCCTGAATAGTTACTGTTTGAACCTAACTGAGTGTAGGAGTGAGGTTCGGGTGAGGGTTTGGGTCAAGAAGGAACGCAAGGGTCAGGTGTAATCGGAGGAATAAGAATTAGAGAGTCGAGTGAGAATGAGAGTCAGAACTTTAGAAAGAGAAGTAGTTGCTATAGAGAGAGAATGGTGAAAAATGCGATCCCCTCACCCACCGTAGTAAATGCCATATTTATAGGCTTCATGGTGGTGGGTGAGTGGTTGACATAAGAGAGGATACAATGATGTGACTACTGGGATACAACGATGTGACCCATGATGTGACCACTAGCATACTAAGGACTTTAGGCCATCTCTCTACCTAGGATGAGTCAGAGATCCACCCATGACCCTGATGTGACTACTCGCCAAGGAGGGGTGCGCTTCTCTCCTCTTCTGATTTGGCCTACGCTTGTCCTCTCCTAGCGCATGTAGTTGCGCTTAAGCTCTTCGCGCCAAGACGTGGTTAGCCACGATGAGGCGGCACACTCGGGGTCCTCGCGCCGCCGTGTCGGGGTCTATTTAGTTGCGCCCGGTTCCTTGGCATGATCAGGCCCGAGTCCTATCCCCAACAATTGCCCCCCATCAGGGGGTGTTTTATGAACGCCCCCTGTTTAAGTTTCTTCCTGACAGACTCGGGCCGGTGTGCTCTTCGAGGGGCGGGTCTTTTGGGCCCATTCCGCTTGTAGACGTGCGCGATACTGTGGACCGGTGTCACCTTGCACTAATGTCACGCGCCGTCGCGCTCGTTGTTGGGCTTCGTTTGTTCGTTACGCGCGATACTTGGCGCGCGCTGATGCGCGTACGGGGTCGTTTTCTTCGCGCACGTTACACTGGCGGCTCGCGCTTGCGCGCTCGTTGTTGAGCTTTGTTCGCTGAGCGTGATACTCGCGCGTGATACTCGTTGTTTTCCTTTCGCAGCGCAATGCGTGTTTTTCTTTTCCTCGCGGGTATGTCATGCCCCCCAGGCGGTGCGCGGCACTGGTGGCGTCGCCGACTAATGCCTATGATCGTAGGTGTCCACGTGTCACTGTGTGGTTAGGCTACTTGGGCGGGGATTTTTTGACTTTCGAAAAGATTTGGTGGGATCTGACGGTTACGGATCCCAATGTGACTTTAACCTTTCGCCTTCCGCTGGCCGGCTTTGGCCCTTCGCTTTCCCCCTGATCGACTATAAGTATGAGATTGTTGCAGAGAGGAGGGCTCACTTGTTTTCCCCGATTATAGCCTCACTTTCCTTTCCCTGAGATTTCCCTCTTCCTTCACTTTTCTTTCTCTGAGATTTCTCTTCTCCTTCTACAACCTTAATCCTCTTTTGCTGTTGTTCAATTTCGAGTCGATATCATGTCCAACATCAACAATCAGGAGGCCGAGGTCGTACAAGGCGAAGAAGGTAATTTCTCTCCTCCCTCGCATACTTCTTCTGACCATTCCGGTGGTGGGAACGGAGGTTCTGGGGATTGGAATGGCGGATCTGACGGCGGGGATGGCAGCAGTGGTGGTGGGATTCCGGCGACGCCGACGTTCGATGCTAGGTCGGGCGATGGGGCCGGAAGTTCTTCTGATGCGGGTATACTCGCTTCCGGGAGTGGGGGGGCGATGCGGCCAGCTCGGGGGACTCTGATCATTCGGCGTAATCAGGGTGATAGACCGGTCGTCGGCGATGAAGCGGGCGACGAGGAAGTCGCCGACGATGAAGTCGCCGACGGTGAAGTCGGCGACGATGAAGACTTCGCCGACGAGATGGCGCAAGGGGACTTTGGTGTGCAATTCGCACCGCGCGCCGTCGAGCGCGTTACCGAAGCCATGGCCCGCTTGGGGCCGCAAGGTGTTGGCGCTACGTACCGCGTGATCGAGTGGGCCGAGATGTGGGGTGACCAACCAGCGCCGTCTGACAACCTCAAGCGCGGACCCGAGCACTCCTCGACGTATGACGTGGATGACGTGGAGGAGTTGGTTCGCGGACTGGGCTTGCCCCCCAATTGGGAGTACGCCGCTCCGTCGATGCGCAGCATGGTGGGGAACTGCCCCCCTGGGTGGTTCGGTGTGTACGCGGAATACTGGGTGATGGGGTTCAAGTTCCCCATCGACCCGTTGCTGTGTGCCATATATGACCGCCTCAAGTGCTCCGTCGGTCGGCTCTCCCCGTCAGTCATCATGCACGCGAGTTGCCTCCGCCTCGCGTGCAAAAGGCTTAACATCGTGCCCACTTACGGGCTATTTAGGAAGATGTATAAAATCAAAGAGCCCTCAAGGCGGAGCGACTGCCTTTCCATCCAGCGTCGCGACAACCGCCCCGATGGCTTTGTGTATGGCTCGCCCAAGTTGAAGAAGACTTGGTTCGATAACTTTTTCTACGTTAAGCCCACTCCCGGGGAATGGGCGAGCGGGTTACTGGCGGAGCCCACCTCCTGGATGAAGGGCAGCATAGTCGGGTTCGAGTCGGACGTCGGTCATTACGACGGGCTCAACGATGAGTATGAGGCTTGCATGCCTCATCGCATGAATTTATACAAGCGGGGTGTCCGCGAAGCTTGCTTGGAAGAGCTATTTGGAGATGGTTAGTTATATTTCCTTTCCTTTGTATTCTATCTTATTAACCGCTCTCTTACGATTTATTGGCGCAGGTGTTGACTTTTCCACCCTCGCGAGTATGATGTCGGTGGACGATGTCGTGCCGCGTGCCGACAAGAAGAAGAAGAAGAAGGTTGGCGCGGCGCCAAAGGCTTCAAAGCGGAAGGAGGTCGAACAGCCGCAACCGCAGGCTGTCGAGAGGCCCCGCAAGACCATTCGTATAGCGGAGCCAACTGCTCAAGTGACGAAGCCGCCTCCCGCGGCGCCGCAGTTGTCAGCCGCGCGACAGCTATCATTGGCGCTTTCGGAGCCCGAGGCGACAGTGAGCCGGCCCGCGCGTCGAGGAGGAGATGGGGCTGGCAGCTCATCCGGGACGTCCGCTACTGCTCCCACCGCCAGCGCTGTTCCTGCCACCGCCGCCGTCCACCAAGTCCGCGACGTGCGGATTCACACCGCGGCGGCGTGTAACCTGGTATCCGCCAACCATACACTCCGGGCGATCGGGCCCGTTCTCTCCGTTCCCCCGCGGGTAGAAAAGACGGACCCTCTCCATGACTTGGCGCAGATCCACTTCGCGGTAGGACCTAGTTTAGGTTAAGGTTTATTTTCCTAACTTTCCCTTTCTTTCGTGTTTGGCTAAGACTCGTGGCGTTGTAGGGTCTGTCGGCGACTTTTCGTGCTCAGCAAGAGCGCGCCTCGATGCGCGCCAAGATGAAGGCCGACGAGGCGCAAATCGTGCAGCTGGAGGGAAAGGTGCTCGGGGCAAACAATCGCGCTGAGGATGCGACCACTAAGGCCAACGAGGCGCTGGAGTCGCTCGGCCTTTTGCAGAGCCGATTAGCCGCGGACGTGGAGGCGGCCAAAGAGCAGGTGCGGAACGAAGAGCGCTCCGCCCTCCGGAAAGAGCTGGAAGTCTCTTTTTCTGAGAAGTTGCGCAAAGCTCGCGAAGATTTTCAGAAGGAGAAGGACGACCTTGTTCGCCTTCATACCGTCGCGAAGGCTGAGGCCGTTCGCGAGGCTGAGGCCACGGCCATCCGCCAGTTCAAGTCTTCCCCACCTTTCGGGAAGATCATGGCGGATGCCATGACCAAGGCCGTGATAGCGGTCGGCAAGAAGGTTCGCCCCGAGAATCCAGGGATGCAGTGGGATACTCGCGAGATGGTTCAGCATGTCAAAATGTGGATCGGCGAGAAGCGTCCTTTGGATTCCGACTCCGAGTCCGAGGAAGAGGAGGAGGAAGAGGCGGAGCGCCGGGAGGAGGTTTCGGGCGCCAGGAGGGATGGTGAGGTGGCTGATGAAGATGAGGAGGACGAGGAAGAGGAGCGTCCTTTGTTGCGTCGCAAGTCGAGCAGGGAGGACGAGCAGCCCAACACTGGCTCTGCTTAAGAGTTGGTAGCTGTTTTGTTGATTCTTCTTGCCCTTTTTGTTGTTGTTGTTTTTTTTTATGTGTAATTGCGAACAACATTGTGGCTTCCTCCTTGATTATGCCAAGAGTTCTTCGACTGTGTTTGTTTCTCTTTTTACCTTTTTTATCTATCTTGCTCCATAACTTTGTGTGCGCGAGTGTGCGCGAATGGGCGACGACCGCCGCTTTTGTTGTTTTCTCGCGCGGAGGATGCGCGAACTGGGCTAATGCTAACTTTTTGTTCTTTCGAACTAGGCGCGAATAGTGCTGGACTATTGCTAATTTTTGTTCTTTCGAACTGGGCGCGAATAGTGCTGGACTATTGCTAATTTTTTGTTCTTTCGAACTAGGCGCGAATAGTGCTGGACTATTGCTAATTTTTGTTCTTTCGAACTGGGCGCGAATAGTGCTGGACTATTGCTAATTTTTGTTCTTTCGAACTGGGCGCGAATAGTGCTGGACTATTGCTAATTTTTTTTGTTCTTTCGAACTGGGCGCGAATAGTGCTGGACTATTGCTAATTTTTGTTCTCTCGAACCATGTCTTTTTATTTATTGTGCTAATGCGCTGTTGCGAACGTGGTACACGCTAATATGCCCGGTGGTACTTCCTTAGATTCTGTGCATTCCATGTTCTTGGAATCTTGTTGCCCCCCAACTCGCTCAGTTTGAATGTGTTGGCGCCGACTACTTCGCGAATCAAGTAAGGACCTTCCCATGTCGAGGCGAGCTTCCCGTGCCTGGGGTCGGGGCGGAAGTTCCGCCGTAGTACCTGGTCGCCAAGGATCAACTTGTGTGGGACCAGCTTCGCGTTGTGGTACTTGGCTACCTGTTCTTTCATTGCGGCTAGCCTGATGGCTGCCAACTCGCGCCTTTCTTGTGACAACTCGAGCTCCAACAGGCGCGCTTCGTCGTTCGCTTCTTCATTGTACGCGGCGATCCGGTAGGTCGGTATTGTCGTTTCGATGGGGATGACCGCATCAGTGCCATACGTGAGAGCGAAAGGGGTTTCGCCCGTTGCTACCTTGTATGTGGTGCGGTGCGCCCATAGCACCGTGTTGAGCTCGTCCGCCCAATTGCCCTTGGCTTCATTCAAGCGGGTGTGGAGGCCGTGCAAGATCGCTTTATTGGAGGATTCCGCTTGGCCGTTGGCTTGCGGGTAAGCCACCGACGCGAATCTTGCGATGGTTCCTACCCCGTCGCAGAAGTCTATCACTTCTACGCAGTCGAATTGTTTCCCATGGTCGAAGATGAGTGCATTTGGGACTCCAAAGCGCGACAAAATGTTGTTGCGCAAGAAGCGCGTTACCTGTTGCGCCGTTATGGATGCCAGCGCTTCAGCCTCAATCCACTTGGTGAAGTAGTCCACTGCCACGATTATGTATTTGCGCTTCCCTTTTGCCGTTGGGAAAGGACCAAGGAGGTCGACTCCCCACTGCGCGAAAGGCCATGGGCTTAAGTTGCCCTGGAGCTCGGTGGCCGGCAAGTGATGTTGGCGCGCGTTGACTTGGCATTTGTGGCACTGATCTGCGTAGTTCTTCGTATCCTTCTTAATTCGCGGCCAGTAGTATCCATGCAAGAGGATGGTGCGCTCCATGCTGCGTGGCCCGGCATGCATCGCGCACAGTCCGTCATGAAGTTCACGCACTAAGTTGTGCGCCTCCTCTTGCCCAATGCATTTGAGGTAGACGCCCGAGTACGACCTTCGGTATAACTCTCCCTCAATGAGTGTGCAACGGGCCGCCTTTTGCCTTAGAGTCCAAGCTTGCTTAGAGTCTTCCGGCACTGTCCCATCTTGGAGGTACCTCATAATCGGGTGCCTCCAGTCTTCGTTTGACATGAGCTGGGTTGTGTTGATGGCCACCTCCGAGGAGGCTTCTTCTTCTTTTTGGACGGACACTAGGCGCGTGGACTCGAAGTCAGTAGCCGTTGCCAGCTTAGATAGCGCGTCGGCGTGTGCATTCTCTTCTCTTGGTATCTGCGCATATGTTACTGCTTCGAATGTCGTGGCTCTCAGCTTAACACGCTCCATGTAGTGCGCCAGTGCATCTTCCTTTGCATCAAACGCGCCATTCAGCTGATTGACCGCCAGGGAGGAGTCGGAGAGGATCCGTATTGTTCTCGCTCCCAAGTCGTGAGCGGCCGTCATCCCCGCCAAGATGGCCTCATATTCCGCGGCATTGTTTGTTTTCAGCGCCCGGAACCTGATTGCCATTTCGTGCACCGCGCCAGTAGGCGTGCGCACCACAACTCCTGCTCCGGCGCCATGTTTGCTCGCCGCTCCATCAACGTAGACTTCCCAAACGCCCTCTGGCGTTGTTTCAAGGGTCACCCCTTCTGCGATGAAGTCCGCTAGGATTTGGGCCTTTATTGCTGGTCTTGGCGCGTATTGAATGTCGTATTCCGATAGCTCGACCGCCCATTTGACCATGCGCCCCGACACTTCCATCGATGTCAGAATCTTTTTTAGTGGGAGGTTTGTCAGGACGGTGATTTGGTGCGCTTGGAAGTACGGGCGCAGCTTCTGCGAAGCGCTTACCAGTGCTAAGGCAGCCTTCTCGATCGAGGAATATCTTGTTTCCGCGCTGACAAGAGTGCGCGAAGTGTAATACACCGGTTGCTCGGTTTTGCCGTCTCTTCGAGATATCAGCACTGCGCTCACGGCCCTTGTCGACACAGCGAGATACAAGAAAAGTTTTTCATTAAGCTTGGGGGCAGTTAGTACAGGGGGGGGATACAAGATACGCCTTTAGCTCTTGGAACGCTGCTTCGCATTCTGTAGACCATGTGAAGCGTGTCCCGTTCTTGAGCGTTTGGAAGAAGGGCGCACACTTGTCGGCGGACCGTGGTATGAATCTCCCCAGTGCCGCTATCTTGCCATTCAGAGATTGGATTTCCAGCGCGTTCCGAGGCGCCCGTAGTTGTTGGACCGCGGTGATTTGCTTCGGGTCGACCTCTATGCCGCGCTTAGTTATCATGAACCCGAGGAATTTCCCCGCTTCTGCTCCAAAAACGCACTTGAGTGGGTTGAGGCGAAGGCTGTGCTGACGTAGCGCTTCGAAAGTCTCGCGCAGGTCTTCCAGGTGTGACTTGCCTGCCTTTGTTTTGACGATGAGGTCGTCTACATACGCCTCGATGTTCCGCCTGATTTGTCGCGAGAAAACCGTGTCAATCATTCTCTGATATGTCGCGCCCGCGTTCTTCAATCCGAACGGCATCCCTACGAAGCAGAAGTTCCCGAACGGTGTCATGAACGCCGTCTTTTCTTCGTCTTCCACGGACATGGGGATTTGGTGGTATCCGGAGAACATGTCGAGGAAGGACAATGTCTCGTGGTCGGCGGTTGCGTCGATCAGCTAGTCGATACGCGGCAGGGGATAAGGGTCTCCTGGGCACACTTTGTTGATCGTGGTGTAGTCGACGCACATCCGCCAAGCTCCTGACGATTTCTTGACCAAGACCACGTTCGCCAGCCACTTTGGATACTTTACGGGTCGGATTAATCCGGCCGCTAGTAGGCGCGCCACCTCTTCTTCAATCGCCTTCAGCTTATCGCCCGTGAAGGATCTCCGCCCTTGTTGCCTTGGTTCTGCGTTGGCTGGGACTGCAAGACTGTGTTGGGCTACCTCTCTGGGCACCCCTGGCATGTCTTCCGTGCACCACGCGAACAGCTCCTTGTACTCCTTCAGTAGCGTCACGAGCGGCTCGATGGCGTTACTGCTGACGTGAGTAGAGATGCGTATCTTCCTAGTTGGCTCGGCGGGATCCAGCGCGACCTCAAAATCGGAATCCATGGACTCCGGTCGGGGTTCCTCCGCCCTTGTGTCGACAATGTTGGTTTGTCGAGCCACAGCGCGGTCCTCCCAGGTCGTTCCCCGTGCTTCTCCTACTCCTCTCTGTGTCGGGAATTTGAGTTTCTGGTGGCACGTCGACGGGAGGGCCATGAACCTCGCAAGGAAAGGTCGGCCAAGGATGCCGTTGTGTGCCGATTCACATTTGACGATCGTGAACTCTACCTGTTTGGAGACGCGAGGCTCCTGGTCGCCGATCACCACAGGGAGGGTGACCACTCCAATCACAGGGACTTTGGTTCCAGAGAAACCAACCAGGTTGCCTTGCGCGCGCCTGATTAGGCGTGGGTCGATGTCCATTTTGTCGATGGTACTCTGGAAGAGGATGTCAGCCGCGCTACCCCCATCTATCAGGAGGCGGTGGGTCTTGCAGGCGGCAATTAGCGCGGTGACAATGAGCGGCTCCTCTGACGGGACTCCTTGTGGGAATTCCGAGTCCTCAAAACTCAGGTTGAACTTCGTTGGCGCGTTGACGGCTGCGCACTCCGTCGCGCGCTCCCGCTTGGTTTTCTTCTGGGGACGATCCCCTTCAACCGTCACCACCCCGATTTCCTTGCGTACCACGTACGCGCCCGCGTCATCGTCGTATTCGGCTTGTGGTGGCGGTGGCGGCGGGTGCTGCGGGGCCTCGGCTTGTTCTTTCTTCACGTGAAGGAACTCGGTTAGCAACCCTCGCCGTATGAGGCCCTCTATTTCGTACCTTAGCTCCCGGCAGTCTTCCGTCTGGTGCCCCGTTGCTCTGTGGAATTCACAATGCCTATTCGGATTGCGCATGTAGGGTTGGGATTTCAGCGGGGCAGGCCAATTGAGCTTGTACCCCTTCTCGCGGAGGACATGGAACACATTCCTCACGGAATCGTTGAGGGGAGTGTAGGCGTTGGGCGCGCGCCTGTCTGGCGATCGCCCGCGCTGTGCCTGTTCTGGTGGTGGGAGAGGAACGCGCTTCGGGCCACTGTGCATCTGCAGCAATTGGTCTCGTGAGATTGGGGCTGGAGGCTGACGACGTGCCTGTTCTTCCCGCGGCACTTTTGCTAGTTCGAAGCGCCTGATGGATCCTGCGCCCAGGGTTTCTTCCAGCGTGATTGCCTTTTCGATCTTCATCTCCAACTCCGTCGACAGCGTGACGGGCCTTTTTGCCAATGCCCGCTTGAGCTCCATATTGTTGGTGGCCTCCATGAGATGATGGGCGGCCGTTTCGGGGGTAAGGTCGCGGACAGCCATTGCCACCCTGGACCATCTTGCGTAGAAAGCTCTCAGGCTTTCTCCATCCTTTTGCCTGACATCTATCAGGGCCTTGAGGTGAAGCGGGCGCCTTTTCTGGGACGCGAATTTCGTTGTGAACAGGAGTATGAACTCTTCGAATGAGCGGATGATTCCGTTCGGGAGGCGATTGTACCAGTCGAGGCATATGCCGGTGAACGTCGACGGGAAGGTTCTGCACAGCGCGGCGTTGGAGTTGGTCTGGAGTTGCATGCGCAAGCAGAAGGTGCTTACATGGTCTTCCGGGTCGGTAGTGCCGTTGTATGTTGGGAGGGTGGGTGTTACTCCTGTTAGATTCTCCGCCATTATCTGCGCGCTCAATGGCTGGTGGAGGACTCTTTTGGGCGGGTGGGGTCGGTATTGCGGAGACAGGTGTTGCTCTAAGAAGCTGAGGTCCGCCCGCTCTGGTAGTTCGATTCCCGGCGCTTCGCATGCGGGGAGTCCTGTCGGTGCGTGTTGGGGTAGCTGGGCTGTCCCCGACGTCTCTCCCAAGGCTGGCTGAGGTGTAACCGCCAAGGCCTGTTGAGGCGCGTCCGCCGCCGCGCCCATTGTCATCGCGCTCTCCCTGCTCATCATGAGCGCGATGACTTGGCTCATTTGTTTCTGCATGTCGGCTATGACGTTGTTTTGCTTTGTCACCAAATCCCTCATTTCTTTGGCTGTCAGCTCAGGCTCCTCTTCTTCGATGAGCACGGCGTTGAGGTTGCTGGCTTCCGCGAACGCCCTCGGGTCAGTCATTGCCTTGATCGGCGTTGCTTGGTCAGGTTGGTCGGGGTTGTGCTCTGCCATTAGGGGGTTTTCTTTAGCGTTTCTTCTTGGCCCCACGGTGGGCGCCAATTGTTTGAACCTAACTGAGTGTAGGAGTGAGGTTCGGGTGAGGGTTTGGGTCAAGAAGGAACGCAAGGGTCAGGTGTAATCGGAGGAATAAGAATTAGAGAGTCGAGTGAGAATGAGAGTCAGAACTTTAGAAAGAGAAGTAGTTGCTATAGAGAGAGAATGATGAAAAATGCGATCCCCTCACCCACCGTAGTAAATGCCATATTTATAGGCTTCATGGTGGTGGGTGAGTGGTTGACATAAGAGGGGATACAATGATGTGACTACTGGGATACAACGATGTGACCCATGATGTGACCACTAGCATACTAAGGACTTTAGGCCATCTCTCTACCTAGGATGAGTCAGAGATCCACCCATGACCCTGATGTGACTACTCGCCAAGGAGGGGTGCGCTTCTCTCCTCTTCTGATTTGGCCTACGCTTGTCCTCTCCTAGCGCATGTAGTTGCGCTTAAGCTCTTCGCGCCAAGACGTGGTTAGCCACGATGAGGCGGCACACTCGGGGTCCTCGCGCCGCCGTGTCGGGGTCTATTTAGTTGCGCCCGGTTCCTTGGCGTGATCAGGCCCGAGTCCTATCCCCAACAGTTACTAAAAAGGAATAATCCTAACCTCTTTGTTAGCTTGTCCGACATGACTAGGGTAAGACTGTAAGAGTATGATTTTCAGGGTTATTAGCGAATCAAATTGGAATAGTCAGCAGACAAATTCATGTTGTTGGTGCTACCAGGATCTTCTGGCTCGGGTCCTTCTGGGCTGAACTGTAGGTTTACTGGTGAAATCTCAACTTGCCTGATGGCTAGCTAGGGGAGGCACCTGTCTTTCCTTCCTCTTGATAGATTTAGAAACTGTAGATATTTCATTGGAAAAGAAATTGGAGACATTTAGCACAAATGAGGGAATGACGTACTGAATTGGGTCACCCAGAGGCTATGGTCCATATTTCTACACAGATTATGAACAAGAGTGACGTTTTCCTACCCAGAAAATGGATCGCACAACCTTCCAGCAAGACCCTTTATACCAGGGGCCTCTCGACCCATCGAAATGATGCAATTCTTGACGATTAAAAATCTCAATTATCGTCTCTTCCCCCCCCCCCCCCCCCCCCACCCCCCAATCATTTAATGTTCTATTGTGTAGGCACAAACTCCCATCTGCATGGCGGAAAACAGGAAAAATTCATGTCAGTGGGCCTGGTTTCCAACCTGTTCTTGAGTCGTAACCGGCCAACGACCGGGCCAAACCGAAAAAACCCCATCATGGTTCTGTCCGGTTCTTTTCGGTATCAGAGGACAGCAATGAATGTTCAGCAATGCAGTTTCCATATGACAAGGAAAGGTAGAAAGCTTCCTGAATTCTCATTGAGGATCATCTCTAGCACAAGAAAACATCCCTTCCTGTTTTGAATCTCTAGTCTTAAAATAGGGAAAGTAGCTCCTCTGGTTTCTAAGAGAAGGAAAAGAAAAAGCTCATTCCTTTTGATGGGAGAGAGCTTGATAGGGAAGAAAGTAGAGTTTCCACCACCTCCTCCCTCTTTAATCGAACATATTGGGAAGTGGTCTCACTGCCATGAAAGCATCCACCATCTGGAAACATAAATGTGATGTGGATCATTCAACTAGATATATCTGAAACCAAGGTAAAGGGAGCTAGGAGGAGAGTTAGGGGGTGTGTGGAACTTACTTCTTCCGTGACAGCAGCCCGAGCTGCACGGTGTCTATCTACCAGTTCTGTCAGAACGTCGGCAAGTCGCTTCTTCACCTCCCCAGTCAACATCCGTCCAGCACCATATTCCTGGGCAGTAGATACGGTAAGGAAACATGATTTTGTATTGAAGTGAAAAATGGAGAAACTGGTAGATTGTGCCTAAGAAGAAGGGAACGAGGTCTCACTGTCTTGATGTGCTCCAGCTCGGCATCATCTTCCAAGAAGAAACTTAGGTACTTCACCGGTATGTCCACCTGGATGTTCCAGAACCAAACTATTAACAGTCATTGCTAAAGGGATTGTTGTTTAAGCAAGACTAGTGTGATGTTTTGAATTGGGTTTAAGAGAGATTTATATATGTTAGAACCAAGATCGAGTACCTCAAGATTGGCACCAAGTTCTCTGTGCTTCTCTATGGAGTCTTGCCCACCAGAGAATGCATACTTATTTATCTGTCACAGTTAACATATAATTATAGGTTACCATTACTTTTCATATCACATAAGGACTACAAATGTGAAACATGATCATAGGTACCATCGGTTTTGTATCAAACAGAGCAGCAGCAAAGGTAAAGTATACTTTAGTAAGTTAATTATTCATTGTGCATAGGAATTAAGTTACTGTAAGAATCACAGGAAGGAAACCAGGCAACTGACTGAAAAACGGATCTTCTACCAAAAGAAGAAGAAATTCACAAAAACAGACTTAGCTGCATATGTAGGAAAAATAAAAGTAATAATCATATGCAGAATCCGGATCATACCTTGTTTTTAATGACCTTGGCCGAATCTGTCACATATATAGCAGAATTTGGATCACTGGCAGACATTTTTCCTGTTTCACCCTACAAATCATATTTACAATCAATGGTGCTGATTGTTAGTGATGCCACAGAAGACACCAAAACTTCTTAAAGCACACATAGAAATCTATAAAAGAACTATGTTCATCCCAACAAGAAACTGATTGAGCTGGCTGAAGTATATTATTCAAGGTCTGGTGGCAAATTTCTTGTAATGAAATGGAAAAAAGGTCACAGCAGGGGGATATGAGTCACAACAACAACTTCCTGGTAACTCTCCTAATGAATTCAATTGCATTAAAATTTAAAGTGATGCAGCCATGGTATAGTTTCTTTTCCCCAGAATAGGAGGGCTATTATATGTTTGTACCCCAAGTTACCTGCAGGGCTGGGAAAAAAGACGACTCAATCAGAGAAGGTTTATGATATCCTAGCCTCGGTGCAACATCTCGTGTCATTCTGAAATATGGATCCTGTAAAATTTAAAGAGTGAAAGAGTTAGAGAAGAGAGAAGGCTATAAAAAGATGATGTCACATGTTTTAGTTTCCTATCATTTCACCAGCTGCACTTTTCTATACCAAAAGTCAACAGAAAAATGTAACTAAATAGGGCCTGACCTGATCAATTGCGCAAGGAATCAAACAACGGAGGTCATCTTTCCCAGAGAACAAGTGTGGGAATGAACTAGGAAATGACGGTGCTGCCTGTACTACAGCAAAAGGGAATTCTGTTAAATCTCTTGCTCCCACATACTTCCCCAACTAACCAATAATGGACAGAAAGGAGACAACTGGAGAACATAGGTCCATAGAACAGAAATCTTAATTGCAATGCATGTCAAGTTTCTGACCTGAATAGGTGGAAAACTAACTTTTCCAATGTGATCTTCACCACTGAAACCAAATATGCCCACAACCTGCATATAAGTGGTAATATTGATATGAGTGCCAATGTAGTTATCCCACCAGAAGTAGAGAAAAGAGAAAAAGGAGACCAAAGGAAACCAACCTTATTGTACGTGACACACTTTGCAATCCTCACCATGTTCTTGTAAAAGGATCTGTAAGCATGAATCTCATGTCATACTATTAAAGTTGTAAGTCTAACAGCACAGTTATACATGCAACATAATTCCAGAAGATTTATGTACATACATGTTCCGAATCACATCTTTGATAAAACAAAACCATATCATAGCCATTCAACCGGATTCTTACCCGCCAACATAATCAAAGTCTGAAAAGATGAATGTCTTTGTGATGTCAAACCCACATGCAATAATGTCTTTGGCATTTTCACGGGCAAGTCTCTGGCACTCCTCAACTGAGAGGTTTTTCCACATGCATTTCTCATCATCAGTAAGTTGAATAACTAGAGGCACCTTGAAGGCATCTTGCAAATACCTGCAAGCATGATGACAACAGATTAAAAGGTAAATCCAGTTTACTGGATATCTCAATCTACAAACATCCAGCATCATATCACCAATGCTAGAAAATATAAGATGAACTCACTTGGTAAACATAAATGGTACAAGATGGCCAAGATGCAAAGCTTCAGAGGATGGGCCTCTTCCAGTATAAAGGTAGAACTTTTTCCCTTTCTCATATCCATTCAGAATCTCATCAAAATCCCTATGGGCAAAGAAAACTCCACGGCGGAGGAAGACATGAGCAGGTCTGCCGGTTAGTCGTTGGACACGGTCCACTAATGGCTCTTCAAGCCTTTGGCAACCAAATTTGTCTATAAGCTTATCATAGTCGATCTTTCCTCCATCTTTCGCTGTTACCTCCCATGGATTCACCACCTGCTCCTGCTCTTCTTCCTGCTTATCCTCTCTCTTCTCCATCTTCCCCTATGATCACTTCCCACTCTCTCCTAAACTCTGAAGGGGAAAACCACCAAGAACTAGATTCAGTATCCAATTTGACATTGGCAAAATAATAATGCATACATGGGTTTTCAATTATACTGCACTCAATCGTAATTCGCAAGAGCGCTAATCAAGTATTAGCATCAAAGTTTAAAGCTTTCAGACGGAAGAGAATGAGAAGGCACCGGTGAAGACACCATAGAGAGGCAGAAGCTAGCTACAAGGAATTCTACTGAGTGATAAAAACAGAATCTCCAAATCACCACACTTGAATGCTTTGAAGTACATCGATTTCAATAGAATCCAACCAGTTTAGATGGAGAAAAATCGTAGCTTTTGATTCGATTGAGACTTCAAACTATCGATAATACTGTCTTTTCTAAGTGTGAATTACCTGGAACCAGGATTCCTTTGGCCGGACAGTTGTTGCCGCCTTGTCGAATCCAACCCAACCGACGAGAAAGAGGGAGAGGAGAGATAGAGAGTCAGAGTGTCAGACAGAAGAGAGTCGTCGCCGCCGCCGATAAGAGCCCGCAATTTTGCCCTAGGCTTCGGAGACGTGACTGAAAAACCCACGCGGAAAAAGGAAATGGAAAAACGGGAATTAGAAAGCTGAAACGTATTTCTCCTCAAACCATAATCGAAACGTGTGAAATTGTCAAGAACTGAAGAAAGTAAAACTTCGAAATCCCAATAGAAAGACCTATGGCAGAGTAAACTTATGTGGCATTGTATTGAACGAGATGCTGTACTGTTCAACATGCAGTAGATTAGGGTAATTTATGTCTATTTCTTTATGTTAATTAGCGTTGCAGGAGTACATATTATGCTATTGTATTGACTATTGAACTAACTTGGTCTGTAGCTTCATTTTCCTCATACCATGAACAGCCGGTACACAACAGAAAGAGACACAGAAAGGGTCGACCATACAACAGTTTCAAAGATCACACTACCAGTCTACCACTGCCTATAACAATAACTTGACCAGAACGAGATGGCAGCGCCAGGTCAAAGTGTAATTACAGGAAGCTTTAACACTGTAAGAGTTCTGTAACAGTTACTAAAATAAACATGACTGTGCTATTTCAGCCCTATAGGAGAAGCCCGACTGGTCCCCAACTCGTAAAAGATGGCAACATCCAGCCTTCCCCAGACGGTGTGCGATCAAATGACTTGAAGAGCATAGTCATGTGTCCTGGAAGCTGAATCATTACCAAATAGGTGTTGAATAGGGAAAAACTTCAAGGTTCGCCCAGACAGCTAGTATGAGATCACCAGAGCCACTTCCGCCTCTCGTCTTTTTTCGTTGGTCTCTTTCTACTCCTGCTTCTATTCACCTCCGAAGCATCAGCGGCGTTATTCCCCTGCACATTGTCCACAAAAACCAGCTTATAGCTCAGCAATCCAGAACATAAACATACACATCCTGAATTGCGGAGTAATCTAATGGAGTAACGGACTTGTTTTTATTTCTACTAGTTTATAATGAAATGGTCACACCACATAATGCACTCTATCGTTCCTTGCATTGTCGGAGGCTTGGAGAATATAGTGCAGTTGAAAATATAAGGATCCTAATTTCTAAATGCAAGATAGCAGTATCGATTAGTCATTCAAAAGCTAATCCGAAACTGGCTCTACTCTTGATTCTGAGAATGAAAAATCAGGAACTTCAATATAATACTAGAAGGAAACTTCAAAGTTACTCCCCAAAATAATGCATTGGTTACAGTACACAACTGCAATAGACTTCTACCCTATGATTGATTCAGACGTTCAAGAAAACTAGCAAATAGACAGCTCAATTCTTTAGAGACTTAAAATTATTCAACTTAGAATTATGTGGGACCGGTAGTTGTGAAAAGCGAGTTCAGATTAACAAGATAATAATCCCTACCTTGCTTACAGAAGCTGCTTGGTTTGTGTTTTTCTTTTTCAGGCATGACAGTGGATTTGGCCCCTACAAAATTGCATGAGAAACAGATGGACATCAAGATAATATTATTAGAAATAGAAAGCATATGTATCAATGATGTGGCATGTAGCAATCACAACCTGATGACGTTAAAATCGGGCGAATCCAGGGGCACATAACAGAACTACGGTAAAAAAACATTAAGCAACCCAAGCCATTATTGCTACGAGTGTTATGCACGACTCAGCTCTGCAATTTTTTTCAGAATCGCAAAAGTGGATAGCGTAAAGCACGATCAGTCGGTCACACACAACAATCCAAGTCACTTGCCCTTGCAGGGTTAAACAAGTTATGACTAAACTAGTACAGCAAATATAATATCTCATATCTGCTAGACAGGCAGCAGGGAAAAGTTAAAATGACTAAATTCTCAACTTTCAAGCAAACAAATACTTAGCAAACACAATGGGCACAGACCAACATCTTCTATAGATAGCTGGACTGGACAATAGAGTACAAACTACAGAGCCACACAAGAGTTTATACATCCAGCATCAACAATAGAACGCAGTGATGAAGAAAGCACCCAGGTTTGAAGGAACGAAGAGAAGGTTGCCATCCAGCTTGAGGAAAGTAAAAGCAGAAGCAAAGAGAGGTGAAACCAGACCTTGGCTCTCTTCCTCTTAAATTGAGGCCTATCTTTGACATTTAGTGCAGTATTGCGTACGTCTTGCTTTGCACCTTCATGTTCATCTGCAGAAGCGCCTATTTCTGCAGTTTCCAGGATGTGACCAGTCTCCTTTATTAAAGCCTCACGCTCTTGCTCTGACAGCTTAGAGCGTCGTGCTTCAGAACTTTTGGCAAACTCATGCTGAAATGTTGATGGCTGCTCAAGGAAGAGTGCATTTCTCAAACCATAAACCAACGGGACACCTGGTACCTGGAGATTACAATTTTGTACGCTGTGAGCAATCTCCCCACTAAATTTCAAAACATTCAACAAAAAGTTCGATACTTTCTTAAGGAAACTATAACACACAGTTCCGGACCATTGACATGGGAGGAGGATTGGCGCAAAATTCACTAAGGTTGAGTTTATGCATATAAAGATCTTGCCTTTGCTATATAATCACACATGCCTTTCAAGTAATTCTCCAAGGTGTGTACCTAGAACAATCTGTTTGATGTTTCAATTGAAGTTCAAGTAAAAGTACCGCACTCTACCTCTTGGAACTTCTTCCGCAAATCAGCATCCTGGGTAGCAACAAAGAAATGCTCTGGATTATTTTCACCAACTATATCTATCAGGCAAGCTTCTGCACTCTTCTTCCCCTCGTGATCGCACCTGCCATCAAGATTGAACTCCAGTAAGCCCCTTTCGGACACCTCTAATCACTCAAAGAGGGAGGAGAATCACAATTCCCACAAAATCCAAATTATTCATTACCTTGCAGTCATGAGCTTATGAGCAGCCTCGAGGGATTCAGAAAATGAAGGGCCGAGCCGTTTAAGCTCCTCAACAACGCACCTGCAAATTCGAAGCTCCAAAATGAGTTCAAAAGAAAAGTCTGTTCAAAATAGCATGAAAGGAAGAAATCCCAATTCAGGAGCTGAAGAAAAAACCTGGAAGTGAAGAGCTTCACGGGTCCTCCGAGGACAGTGGAGATGGCCGTATCGGCAGGAACGACGCGATTCGCGATGAGGTGGTGGATGAACGTGCCGTCGCAGAAAACCTTGTACGGCTGCCGGAATCCGAAACAAGCCGTGAAGAAACGCACGGCTCGCCGGTGCCGCTTCTGCTTCTTCACCTTCATCACGCCAGTAAACTTCTGATTGCTGCGAACGACGGGAAAACGGCGGCGAGTCCGGAGGACAGCTTGGGAATTCGCGGCGAGGTCAAGGGTTTAAGACGTCAGGAGGGTTTACACTTTACCGTCTTCGGTTTAGCTTAGCGGGAGGAAGGAGAGGGAGAGAGCGCAGTATTGGGCCTGGGCCCAAATCCTCAATTTGGGCTGCCTAACAAGTAACAACGCTCAGATTTTGCCTGCCTTTGTTGTGAAAGCTCAAAGCTTGGCGCTCGGAGGAAAATCAGACAAGACTTCGCGCCGTTGCTTTGCTCCGATTTCTCCCCAATGGCCGCCGACGGAACCAGAAGGCCTCAACCTTCAATCCTTCCGCCTCGTAAGCTCAATGTCCAGAAATTCGCCGAATCGCGAGCTTCCGAGCTCGACGCTCTTCACTCCATAGTATCGAAACGACTGAAGGAGGATTTCCGCTCGCAGAGGAACAAGCGGCGGAGGACGACCTCCTACGACAACCAAGCGGCCAAGTGGAGATACAGGAAGAGGCAGAAGTCTGGAGCTTCCGAAATTACCGGTGCTTCCGCTCCGGAGAAAGAGAGAAGCGGCGAGAAACGCGTGCCTCGCCGAGTTCGCCGGAGAGAGGAGCTCCGGAAGAATCCCGAGCATGGTTTCGTTACCTCCGGCGACGGGACCAAGAGGTTGAGGACGCATGTTTGGTTGGCTAAGAGGTTTACAATGACGAAGCTCTGGGGATTCCATCTTCCCCTTGGATTGCACGGCAGGTGGGAACTGACAAATTGAGAACTTTTACTTAAATTCTGTTTTCAATTTTGTGCCTTTTTTTGTTGTTGACAAGAGTTTGATTTCTTGGGTTTGGTTTTCCAGAGGAAAGGGCTCTCGAGCGGCATTGAGGTGGTTCAAGGAGGGAGCTGTTGTTCATGATGCAAGTTACCATTCAGCTGTTCAGCTGGAAGGTCCAGAGGTAGCAAGTTATTTCTAGCTTATGCTTATCTTACTGAATCAGAACCTTTGCTTCAGTTTATCAATGTTGAGTATTGAATCGTGTCAAGTAATGATCTTTCTGTGGTTAGAGGTTGAAAACACTAGACAAGTTTAATGCTGAATCTGTCAATTGCAACTTCTAGGATTCTTTGTTGTCAGTTCTGGGAATGGTGCTGGTGCCTTCTTTGTCGCCTCAATCGGTGGATGATTTCAGCTCTATTATATCTGGAGTTAGCTATGGAACTGCAATGGTACGTCGTCTGTTGACCTCCTTCATTTTACCTTGGAGATCTAAGGGTGTGGATCTTTGAATTCCGTTGCTCTTTGCACTTTGCAGCTTCATCGTGTAGGACAGCCCACTTCTCAAGCAATAGCACCAGTAACTTACTTGTGGCGTCCCTCTACTGGTGTCAGTGGGGACAAAGGAGACAGCGAGCATAGTGCTAGCGAAGGTGATGTGCTACAGAGTTTAGAGCCTTGTTGCTCCTCTCGCCAGCTATGGATGTGGATTCATGCTTCAGCTTTTACTGAGGGATATGATGCCCTAAAATCTGCATGTCAGAAACAGGTATGGGATCCCCTCGAAGTTTTAGATTTGAATTTTACTCTAGCTAACTCTGTTTCGGACTCTCTTTTTTTTTTTTTTTGTTATCTAGTTATGACTTTGCTGATTGAATCATAGTTGCTTTTTTGGTTATCAATTGCTGGAAGTTGTGACTTGGCTCTTTCAGTTGTTTTTTTGCTGTTTTGTGTTCTTAGTTGTTTGCTCTTTTTATTCAGATGAATGACCGAAATGTGTCAATTAACTGTTGTTCACTTGAAGGTCAACTTGCTAAAATAGAAGTTATGGGAGCAAAAGCATCTCAGCTTCTTCAAAGGATGTTACATCCTATTTCTGGGTGAGTTGCATATTGATAAAAATATATTTTGCGATAGAAGAGAACAGTTACTAAGTTTCTTAATCTCATAATGGGTTTGCAGCACAAATTCAGAAACTCCTTGCTCCTTAAAGAATTGCTCTTTTCTAGAGGATCAACAGGACATTCATGTCTTTAAGTCGTCTACTCCTGAGCATGACATCCTCTCGGGTTCCTCTGTTTTATATCTTAATGTGAAGGACCCGCGTTGCCTCCACGACAACAGTACTGAAGATCCTTCAGAGTCATCTCCTCCCAGCAATGTAGCCGATATTGAAGCTAAAGAAAATGCTGAAGAGCTACTTCTATTGCCCGAGTTAAAATCTGAGGGAACTTCCCATATTTCAGAAAGGAATATATGGGATGTTAGAGCTGGAGATAATATTCCTATTGATGAGCATTTACTATGCTTGGAAAAACATCAAATGCGAAGGGATTTTATTTGCGTCAATGATCCAAAGTTGGGAAGGCCGAAAGCTTGCACGGAGGTGCAGGGTTCAAGATCATGTCCTATTTTGGTTCTGAAAAACCATGACAAAATGGACCAACCCTTAGGGTAAATTACTCACCGGTTCACCAGTTTATGCCCATCAATCTTTTATGTGTGCTATATATCTCTTTTTTCCGACTTCATGTCAATGTAGGGTTAAATGTTTCTGTATCTGAAAATATCCTTGTTGTTTTCCCCCCAGATGGTCAATTATAGTTCCAGTAAACTGGGCCCGAATCTTCTGGAATCAGTTTGTATCCAAGGAAGTTCATGCAATAGGTCTGAGAGAGAAACAGTGGATAGCATGTGAAGTAAGTGAATCAATCAATAGCTCAATTTTTCAATTTAATTTTCCAAACAAATATTAATACTTTCTTGTCATTTGCAGGTCGGGTTGCCTCATTTTCCATCAGATTTTCCTGATTGTAATGCATACTGGTCTCATAAGATTGCCGAGGGTACTAGTATAAGTAAAAAGGACGAACTAAAACCTCTTGCTGTAAGGTCTTTCGAAGTTCCCATTCCACCACCATGGAATACTGTTCGTGTTAGCCTTGCGAAAGAATTCAACATATTGCAAGTAGCGGTTCACAGTGAAAAAGATACGGTTTGTTGCAAACTTAATGGATTTGTAGCTAGAACTTCAAGTTTGATGATGGACATCTTGAAGGAAATCCAGGGTGATAACTTATTTCTGTTCCCTCAAGTGCCGAATTCAGGCTCGAGGTTGTTGGCATCAATGAAGGATGAAATCAAAGTTGGCAATGGTGTGGATGGCTGTAGTAAGCCTATAAACTATAATCTTCATAAACTATGTTTCCTCAGAGTTCTCCTCCATACATTCAAGGAAGGCGTCATTGAAGAAGGAGCTCTCGTGTGTGCCCCTCTTGCCAGTGACATTTCTCTATGGACGAAAAGGTATTTCTCATTGCATACTAAATAGTTTCTTTAATTTCAAACAACTCTAACTCTACTTGATCCTCTCTCATCCTTTTCAGCAGTATTCTTGATTGATTATCTTCACGATCACCCTGAGTTGTTACAACTTGTTCCCTGAATAGTTAATGAACTTGAGTGGTTGTTTCTTGCATGTAATCGTACTCCACTGCTAATTGTGCTTACTATCATATGTGAAATGCATGAAATCTCCATCCTTTATCATTGTTGGAGCTCAAATGTATTATTGTGGTCTCATTTAAAACTTCTTAGTTGTAATATCCTTTTTACTATTCTTTGTATAGTTGCCCTGGCAGGTTAGATAACCTTGACACCAAGCTTCAAGTCCCTGACTCTTCTGTGAGGTCATACTTCCAAAAGCAATCTTCAGGAGACTGGGACCTTCAGATCCCACAAGATCCTGCCAGTATGGAATCTCACCGATTGCCTATCGGTTTCGTGACAACTGGATTCGTCCGTGGAAGGTTAGTAGGTGTTCACTGCTATTGGTTCATTACCCATCCCTAACAACAAATCATATTAACATTATCCATCCTGATGCAGCAAGAAGCCAGCAGCACAAGCATTCTGTGAGACGATTCTGTTATCCCGCCTGAGGGAAGAACAGTGGAAAGAAATGCCTGTGGAGGAGAGGAGGAAGGAAATCTATGTCCTCGTCAGAAATCTGAGATCCTCGGCATACAGGCTCGCTCTTGCCACTGTAGTCCTTGAACACCAAGAACACGACGTCGACTTCTTGTAAAGATCGAGATTGTACTAATTTCATGAAACTGCAACATTCCCGCAAACATCAAACAACCAGTTAGTATTTTCTTTTCCTCTTTGGTTTACAATCCAACTCAAATTCATCCCTTTTTTGCATTCGTGTAAAGTTGCTACGCCCAAATGATCAACCAGAGCATACATACAGAGCATCACATCCATTACTACAATGGCAGAGTTTTGTTATCAACCAAACCTTCACTCATCTCCCGCCGGTGCTGGCGAGCCTCTTGCCGGTCAACCCGCAAGCCAGCGCCTCACTAGGCACGTCCCCAACAAGATGCACACCTTCTGCAAACACAACACCCATCCCCATATGCAAATGCGGCTCAATGTGGCAGTGAAACGCCCAGACCCCAGGATTATCCGCCACGAACCTCAGCGCCGTCCATCCGTAAGGGAAAATCACCGCCGTGTTCCTCAACGGCGGGTTCTTCAAGTTGAACATCTTCTCATCACCTTCCTCAAACCTCCCTTCACCATACCCTAGCACCCAGAAATCATGCCCGTGCAGATGCCACGGGTGGATCTCGCTCGTGTTCGCTGCCAACGCGTTCGCGTTCTGCAGGATCACATCCACCGTCGTGTTGAACTCGATCTCGTACACCCCATTCCCCGTCGTCGTGTTGGGATTCACCGGAGGAACCATGATGTTGTACCCGTTCGCGAAGCTCTCTGGTGGTGGGCTCTGGTCGAATGCAGCCTTCAGGCCGTGCTTGATCGATCCCAAGTAGGGAGTGGGAGGCAGAGACAGTGAGACATTGTTGATTGCCCACTTGATGTAACCGTCGATCCTGTTCTGCGTGTTGAGCAGGACGATCCGGCGGTGGTGTGTCGTCGGAGGCTGCGGTGTGCCCATGAGGGACTTGAGCTTGTTGGTGAACGACTTGCTGTGTGCGTAGTCGTTCCATTGGGGAGTTGGAGGTGGTGCAGAGAGGGGAAGTTTTGATGCAGAGTTTGGAAGGTAGTTTAGCAATGCTAGGGCTTGTGGAGTTTGTGGACGCCGGCCGCGGACGCCGATGGAGATCCAGTGATTGGTTGAAGGGTTTTGGTTTGTGGTGAAGATGACGGAGTAGCTCTCGCCGGAGTAGATGTCGATGTCGTTGGTCTCGAATGGCTGGATGTAGTTCCCGTCGGCTTCCACCACCACCATTTTGTGATTCTGCCAACACAAAAATGAATTACAAGAGACTATTAGATACATAGAGTTGCGGTGAATAGTCACTATCGAGTAATCCTTGACCAACAAGGATTGCAATAGAGTTGGACTCCTTCCGTCATCATGATCATAAGTTACACTTAATTCTGACTATCAATATCAATATATTCACTCTTAAGCAACATAATCAACAATTGAATTCATGCATAAAATTAACGGGCAAATGATTTATTAAGTACTTCATGTTTGTGACAATCAAATTCTATGTATTGATGTGGTCAGATCGATCTGTACGCACAATAATATGTTTCACTCCACATCGAATTTTTCGATAATTCTAGATGTACTAATCTAAAGTCTTTGATTCCACCACATGTCTCTATAAGTAAAAGTAGAAAGTTGACTGCTCATGCAAAGGCTATAATGAATGTGGATGACTGTTTTTGGGAGGATGGTAGACTTCATCCAACCAACTATGCAAACTCTTTCTAGACTGAAGAATAGTGACAAAGGATGGTCAACTTGTGGGGTTATACACCCATTTGGGTTCTCACATAGATGGCAATATGTGTGTGGCTCACATTCTTGTTAGTTCCTTTTGCATGTCAAAAGATTGAAGCATGGAAAGGATATAAGAGAGGACAAAGGGGCTCCATTATGGAGTGAGTGAAAGTGGTCATTTTATGTGGTGCTTTAGCTTTGCTATTGTGAATGCCAACCTCAAATGGCATCTTTATGCTTTTGGACAACACGGTTATGCTCAAGTAGAATGACATCTTGGCAGGGTATAGGATAGATTGGCTCTTTTTTCTCTTTATGAGGGAGACGGACTCAAAGAGAGTTTTTTCCAATAATAGCACCCTAAAAAAAAAAATTACAAAACTAGCACACATATGAAAAAATTGACACAAATAGCACCTATATTTATGGAACGCACCTCCAAGATGCGTTTTATAAGTAAACCGCACTTGAAGGATGCGGTTTACATATAAACCGCATCTTGGAGGCGCGGTCTCCGTTACGAAACGCATGCCAGCAATGCGATCCGCGCCAGCTGCGGAACGGTTTTCAAGCCGTTGGATGGAGGCGCGATCGGGCGGCTGAACGCTTGCCAGGGGAGCGATCCGCGCCAAAGACTGCAGACCGCTTGGCCGAGATGCGGTCAGCCCTAGGTAAAAGCAAAACGCCTCGGGAGGGAGCGGTTTTGCTCAGGCCAAAATTACCAGCCCGCCCCTGGGGGGTGCGGTCTGATGGGTATAAATACCCCCCCTCCCCCTCTCATTTCTTCACACCACAACCCATTCTTCCTCCTCTCTCTACAATTTATCTCTCTAACTAAACCCTCCCCTCCCAAAAGCCTAGGAAATAGTGGTCTGTTGGTTGCGGCTAAGTCCGATCTGCCATCAGTAAACATTTCTTAGGTTTTTCCTCAAAACCCTCCGAGTCGAGCCGAAGCTCTGTCCGAATTACGCCGAAATAATGGCCGATTGGTGGCAAGGAGAAGGAGTTTTTGTTGATGAATTTCAAGCGGTATGTACTCATTATTTTGGTTTAATCTTTGTTGTTGTTATAAGTTTTTTACTAACCTCGTTGTTATTTTCTCGTAGGTTGGGGAGGATGTCGATATATACAACCAACGGTATTATCTCGAGCAAGGACCGGTGGATCCAACCGACTTGTACGACCAAACCAACCATCGGTCAAGGGATGTTTGGAACGATCACCCGGTACATACAATTCTTCACCATTTGCCCTTCTTTTATTTTGTTAATGTGCCTAGTGTAATATAAAATTAATTTATGTTTATTTTGTAATCGTGTTGGTTGTTTTCAATAATTTAATCGAATACATAGCGCCACTTACTTCGACTCTTTATAAAGAGATGCACGTCTAAGGAAATGGGGTTTTAAGCGATTATCATATCCTCCCATTACCTGGGAAAATCGGGTATTAAGAGATCCTCGGATCCCCCCTTTTTCTGTCAAAAAGACTGCGTTTCTAAGAAGATGTATACCTCTTCTAAGAGTCTAACGAGTGTTGCTTTGTATTCGATTAAATTATTTAAAACAACTAATACGATTAAATTATTTACCAAACATTTGAATATGTATGTTTCTACTTAAATTATTATTCAGTAACAATGTTATTTATGTTAATTAATTTAGTATGTTTGTTTTACGATAATATGTATGTACCTCTTTAAATTATTATTCATTGACAATGTTATTATGTTAATTAATTTAGGACGTTTGTTTTATGATAATATGAAATGTCTTTTTATGATGATAAAATTATGTTTTATGTCGCATAATTTAATTTAATTAATTTAGTTATACGAAAAAAAACCCTTACTAATAATAATAAACGTGTACATTTTTTGCTAGGAATCACAAACAATAATCCGCTATAGGGGTACCACCAATGTGCTCCCATTCCACCCAGCTATCTTGCCATTTCTCAAAAGGGCACGGTTAGACTCGATTAGGCATTTTAACGGCATCCAAATCGATCGCCAACTCATCACCGCATTAGCCGAGAGATGGAGAAAGGAGACCCATTGTTTCAACTTTAGAGAAGGAGAGGCCACCATCACGCTAAAGGATGTCGCCATCCTAACCCATCTGCCCATCGACGGCAAACCGGTGTGCGTGAGTGATCATCCCCCCGAGGATTGTGACGGTATGCCAGGTTGGCAGCATTTCATCCACAGTCATTTGGGAGTGAAAGTACCGGTGAAGGGTTGCGTTGATGCGACCGATCGCATGCCACCAATGAGGAAACACCAAGTCTCAATTACATGGTTGACGAAGTATTTTAAAGAGCATTACGAGAGTCACCCCCTAACCGAGGAAAGTCCGGAGGATGAGAAGGAGAGATATGCTCGTGTCTATCTCATAGGCATGATCGGAGGAGTGTTATTCTCCAAGAAATCAAGCAATCTCCTTAGTTGTGGATGGCTTAGGATCATCTTCAGTAGTTGGGAGGAGATGGGGGAGTATAGTTGGGCATCCGCTTGCCTAGCTATCATCTACAACAACTTGTGCAATGCGTCGAACAAAGCCGTGAGGGAGGTTGGCGGCGCAATGTTCATCGTCCAATTTTGGGCTTGGGAGCATATGCCATGGCTTGCACCGGCCCAACGTCCAGACAGGGATTGGCCAATCGATCATCCCCTAAGAGGTGAAGCTTATGGAGCAAGGTAAACTTCTCATACCCCATCATGTAGTCATAACACATTTTGTCTTGTGTTTTATCTTATTGTAGTTTCATTCTTGTCATATTAATAAGGTGGCTTGGACACACAACATGCGACAACCTTGCCCAACACAAGTTGGAGGAGTATCGGAGGAGGTTTGAGCGACTTTGGGAAGGAGAGGTAACTTCTATACAGCGATCCATTTATATTTGTTTTTCATGGGACTACATGTATTTTTCTAATTAATTAATCTTACGTTACTCATTTCTATCTTGTAGATCGTCTTCGATCCATACCCGGAGAACATCGTTCAATGGCATCTCCAGCAATTCCCCGATCATATCGGACAATGGTGCACGAGGGTTCCTCTAATTTGTTTTGGGACCGTGGAGTGGCACTTGCCGGATCGATGCCTCCGTCAGTTTGGTCGGGAACAGTGCATTCCGTTGGAGGTCCCCGAAAGTCAAAGGGCCTTCCATGGCCGAGATGGTCGGCAAGGTACTCGCGATTGGCCGACGAAGTTGAAGGAATTCATCGCGATTTGGGAGAACCGACAACTACAGGATATTGTCACTCCAAATCAAGTGGGCCGAATGGGGTATCATGACCCATACTTGGATCGATATCGGCAAACATCGGTTCGTTACATGACTCCGGAGGGTGCGGCCGATGGTGCATTAGTAAGTATAACCAGTCTAAGTATACTATGATTTATTACTTGGTTCCTAAAATCTCTTTGTAACTTTTTTTGTTTTTTGTGATTTAGGTTGATGGGGTCGAGCGGATTAAAGATATTACTACCGGAAGAAATGACTTGGGCAATGAAGATGTGGGCTACATCAGGAGGATTGCAAACAGTCTACTTGGCTGTATCAGAGCTCAGCGCCGAGATCATCGTAGATATCCGCCGCGTGCCGCACCCCCACCACCTGAGGGGTGCGGTCTACATGTCAAAACCGCACCTTAGAGATGCGGTTTGTTCTTGAACGCAGAAACCGCATCTCTAAGGTGCGGTTTAGGTAGGTCAGGCCTAAACCGCACCTCGGCCATGCGTTTCATGTAGGCCAGACATGAAACCGCATGGCCCAGATGCGGTTTAGGCCCACAATTATTGACCGCACCCTCCAGATGCGGTTTACATTTAAAACGCACCTGGGGGATGCGGTTTATATGTAAACCGCACCTGGAGGGTGCGGTCAATAAAAAAAGTTGCTAGTTTTGTAAATATTTTTGGGCGGGTGCTAGTTTTGTAATTTTTTTTTTAAAGGTGCTATTTCTGGAAAAAACTCACGGAAAGATGCATCTTTCACTCATAAAAATTCAGGTGAAAGTTCATTTTGAAATTCGCATTTAGAATCGTCATGTTCCAAATCATTAGTGATATCGTTAGAACAAGTTCTCGTTCACTATAATTTTGGTTTTAGTTTACAAATTTAAGAGAACCCAGAACCAAAGAGATTTCATTGATTGACAATGGTAATACTATAACTCTGAATCATCCACTCTTATAAGTTTTGTTGGATATTAATAAGAATCGGGATATTACTGGTATGTATATATCGGATGCCGTTATGAAAAAATGTTAGAAAGGAAAAAAGATAATAATAATTTTTGAATAAACCCATATGCTATTTCTTCTTTCCATCTATCTATAGTCCTTTCTCAATTAAGTTTCAAACCCCCCTTGTTTTCTTCTGCAATTAAGTTTCATATTCCTATTTCTTTGGTACTTATTCCAAAAGAACTAATTCTTCCAACACCTTTCCAACTTAGACTAGATGGAAAGATGAAGATGAACCACTCCCACTAGCTACCAACTTTTCAAGATTAGCTATGAGGTGTTACCAACCAATAAGCTATTTTCTTGTAGTGGAAAAGACCCCAAAAGAAGCAATTATTAATCATATTTGTCACTCCTCCATAACATCATCAACATGGATGAAAGATCAATAATTTTTCTAAGATAAAAAGGAGATCTCATAATTTTTTATGATCTATAAATGATATGAAAAAAGTATTCCCCACTTGTTTAGGCACTTTGTTCCCTCCCACCCCATCCTTCCACCGCATGCTCCCTTCTCATTTCTGAAGAATGAGTAGTGGGGCACCATTGCTCATGCTTAGACTCCACTTTCTGGAGAAAAAAAAATTGTGGTTCTCATCTAACTTTTTCAATAATTTCAAGTGAATGTTTTTAGAATATTCTAATATAAATAATTCATGTTTATTAAATATGTTAGTAATTATTTCACATTTATTTGGCGTACATGTTATGCCTTTCAGTTCAATTTCTTATGCATTATAAGAGATGTGAAATACTGAGATCTAATGACTGAATTGATAGGATAAAACCTGAACTCTCAACATGTTGCAAGTGAGTTATCTGGGATGTGTTTGATAAGCCTAATGAGTCTCTCGTCCATAAGTAATGCATATAAAATTTTCAATTAACTAAATGACTAGAAATGAATGAACGACATTGTACGTTAATATATTTGTTAAAAGCATTATGTAAAGACTTACTTGCGAGCACGACATAATACCCCTCGACTCAGAAAAAGAACAATAACTCAAGATTATAGTTACGAAAAGTTCTGGGGTTTTTTTTTTTTTCAAGATTTGACCTAACCTTTAAAGCTAAGGCATTATGCTTTGCTAGTCAAAAGCTATAGGATTTGAAATTTGAACCATTGAAAATGGAGGACAAATCAAAACGATGATCATTAAAGAGCAAATGGGTACAGTGGAGATCATTGAACTTACTCCAATGGCCAAGTTCAGTGAAGCCAAGGCAGTGGTGCTTGCAATCCTCAGCCTGTAAGTCTTGTTTGGGAGCACTTTCAATACATTGGGTGCCCATTGCTCACCCCCTCTTAACGTGCACTGTGACAATGCTGCTGACTTGTTATACTGCGCCGCCAATGAGCAATTGTATTGCCCTCTCCCATTAATCAGCAAAGTCTATCAACATTAAACAAACAGGACTCAATTAGTCACACTATTCCATCTTAATTTTTGTACTAACAAACAAGTGATTCTCTTAAAAGATAAGCCTCTTTCCGGTCTGGACCGACTTTTAACTTTTATCTTTTTCTTTCGTGTCGATATCAATTCAATTTAATGATCGATATGTTCTAAGCCTCCTCACTTCATAAAAAAAAATTATACTCTCTTTCCTTTAATATCGCAATACAATTACATTATATCGTCATTTCGGACTATCTAAAAGAAAGGAGGGAAATGCTAAACTTTGTTCACTAAACTTAAAGCTCTCAAATTTTTTAGATGATAGAACTAGATTAAGATATCTAGGTTAGGTAGGAAATCTTGAAAAAGAGAGCAAAAACATGGGCACATGGGGTGAGTCTTTAATTCAACTTGTAATTTTTAACAATCTAGGAAATAATGGATGCTCAGATTCTGGCTAGGTTTTCAACCAAACATGGAATTTAATTAGCTCTAAACTTTTGACTTTATTAATAGAAAAACTAGCTCAACTTTTGAAATCCATGGTTGGTTGCTCTTGGTTTCTTGCGTCAAAATAGCAATTCCCCATATCATAATATAGGGGATATAGCCGTTGGCAAATGTGGTGAAAGGAAAGGAGAGCACAAACTCTAGACACTATGCGGAGGTGAACTCGTAAACTCGTATGCATTGACCGATGTCGTCTGATTCGTTCATTCATGTCGTTATCCTAATCTAATTACGAAATGCATGTACGAAGGAACGATTGTGTGATACCACCCTATACGCATGTACTTACCCTTTTCAGCATTCTATTAACGCGCGTGTTATTCTATATGAGTCCGTAAAATATCAAGTAACGTAAAAACTCGTTTTATACTATTTCAAACGATTCAGGTCATTTATCATATGGATCGTTCTTGACATGCAATCAGTAACGAAACCGGTGATTAATTAGTCATTTACCTCTGGTTCATTGATCCATCGAAAGGGGAGGGAGGAGAGGCCAATTTCTTGTTCATGAACACTCTTGTGCCACCAGTCACTTAGCAATAGGTTGAACTCTCCATCGTAGTGGAATGGCTCCCTCTTCCCATCTTCCACTTCCACTATCAACGAACCATACAACCCTGCTGACCTTTGCATCCCATAATGCCCGTGGTAAAAATATGTCCCTGCCTGCATATGATCGACGGATAGGCGTCAATACAGTTTGATATCGTTGTATGTTAATCGATCGAGATCATTATCCGTAACATGACATCCGCACTAATAATCATCGTACGATACATCTGACGACTGAAAAATTGCAAAGATACAAGTAATTTTGACGGTGTCACACCATCGATTGATGTGATGAGATTAGGGAGTGGTTAGGTAAATAATTAGTGATATCATATTACCTTGTCAACTTTGAACCTGTAGAGGAAAGTTTCACCAGGGGCAATTGCACACTGTGAGATTGAAGCTGTCCCATCTGCCCACGGCGTCCCTAGCTACATTCCAACAAATTAAAAAAAATATATAATTAATTTTTTTGAATTTTTGTTGATATAATTAATTAATGAGGATTAGAGGAGTAATTAATTCGATTAAAATAAAAAATTATATACCTGTCTAATACCGTGCCAGTGAATAACAACTCCCTCGGTGTGGAGCTTGTTGGTGAGCTCCACGTGTACCGTGTCCCCGGCTCTGGCTCTGATCGTCGGCCCGGGGAACTGGCCGTTGATTCCCATCACCAGATTCTCCTCGCCGTCCGGCGACCGGAACATGTACTCCACGTCCCACTTGAAGTGCCGAGTCTTCCCGCCCCAACAACCTCCGGCCGCCGTCAACATTACCGCCACCAGCACGTGGAGCCACCGCGATAGAGGAGAGCAAGCTCTGGCCATCGGAATTGCCATCTGCCTGTTTTCCGGCCGCGGCCGCCGCCTGATGCGAAGAGAAAGAAAAGAGAGAGAGAGTGGAAGGAGGTTTTTGAGGAGAGAGTGGCATATGTGAGTGTGTATATATAGTTAGAGCTATTTGCAATTTTGCATACAGGCTGGTTTTGATCAGTTTGTTTTTAAGTGTAAAGCTGAGTTGGCCAATTATAACATGTCCAAAACAATAATTAGTGTCATTAATTCGAGTAGAACATATGGCCGTAGTGTAAAGCAAAAGATACTTCTCATTTGCAGTATTTTTATACATAATATAGTGATTAGTGAGTGTTGCAGGATTAATGATTAATGTTATATTATTATTTTGTTTATCTTCAAGTAAATGAAGTCGGATTGTTGAGTTTGAAGTTTTAATAGTTTATATAGATTTATCATTCTTTTATACTTAAACTAAACGTCGTATTAAGAGTTATCGAGATTGATATATGAATACCATTTCTAGTCGGAATTTTATACTTAAAAAAATCTTACAGTTATTATGAAGTAAGGACAAAGTTGTTAAATAAAAAGTTGTGTATTATGAGAATTAATTAGAAAGAGAGGGAAAAAAAATTAAAGTATTTAATAAGCAAAAAAAGAAAGGAAGGAATATAATATTTATAGAGGTATAGATCCCCCAAGTGGAAACATTTACAGGTCATTTCGCACCCATCCGTTTTTCTACCTTTTGGGCAACAATTTGAGTGTTTGCAAAATTTCCTTTTCTTTTGTTTAAGTTTGATAAATAAAAAAAGTTTGATAACATGACAACAGTACTCATTTTATTTCCCCTCCATGTTGCATTGGAGATTCCTTATTTTGCTTATTGCTAAAACCATTTGATAACAAAACATTTTATCTACACCAAAATAATAGCATTGTCTATTGAAACACAATACAATAGCCAAAGATTAGATTTTCATCCGATCAATCGCCTATTGACTTTCTAAGGTTACATTACATCGATTGCTTAGTTAGAAGACTTTTGTTGAGTTGATGCGGCCTTTAAATATACAATGCTCCATCTTCCCACGTACTTAATTCGATTTCGTTTATATTGTTATCATCAATCTCCTTTTACTTCCCGTACATAATATGATGTATCTATACAATTTCATAAATTAATTTTCCTTTTACGCACAAAACAAATATTTTTTTTTATTACCAAAACAAATATATAACATTCGTCTTTCACACATACAACTCAAATTATTGAAGAATATTTATCGACACAAACTCCTTTGTCCCTTATCACTTCCAAGAACTATTGTCTTCTTCTCTTCTTTTGCTCTCGTGGCTGCTCTTTAGTGTGGACAAACAAATGTGTGGATGGTATCCCATAAACACAAAACAATTATACCTTCACAGTCAAGCAAATTCAAAAAAAAAAAAAACTCACTTTTTTTCTAGAATCAATTGGACTAATCTTTAAACCTTGACCAGAAAATCATGTGTGATAACTACAGTGATATTTGCTCAAAAAGCTATGATTCTCTGTGACGTGGTGCGTCATAATTTGCAAAAAGATTTGTTTATTGGGTGATGTTGAATTTTTTCCCCATATAGAATTTCCACGTGAGTTTTTCCCCATTAAAATTGGTTTTTAACAAGGTTTCATGAATATATCTTTACAAATCATATGTTAACTAGAAAGTTGAAAACTCATCAAATAAGTCGCTCTGTTATCATCACGACCAACAAATTAAAAGCTGAAAACAAAATATGCATACCAAAAGGTTCCTAATCTCTTCAAAGATAGCACATCCTCTAGCATCCTAATTTCCGAGCCTTGCATTTACCACACTTTGTAGTTCGGGTGGGCATATAAGCCGATTTGGTGTGGAACCAGATCGAAACGAGATTAGCCCATGCAAAAAATAAAATAAATAAAATTGATGACCAAAAGTATGGTTGGCGTTTGATTTGATTCAATCCGGCCCAAATTCAATTCCAGTCCATTTTTTAATATTTTTAATAATTTATTATAGAATCGAATCCAAATCACAATATATTATTCAATCCGAATCGATTCGGTCTCAAATATCGGTTTGGTACTCCATCCAACCTGATACAAACCTAGCAATTAACCAGCCCAAAAGAAAAAAATACATGCGGGCCCAAAGACACATAATAAAAAGCCCGCTAGAAATTGGCAATAGCCCAGAAAGGCCGGAACACAATTAATAATGACAATAATAAAAATTTCAAATCACCCTTGCACAATTACCAATTTACCCACCACTACAACAGAGCATTCTCTCCACCCATCGATCCCAATCAAAACCCTAATTCCGACGGCGTGCATCCTCCGCCGCGAACATTTTCCCGGTCAGGCCACACGAAAGCGCATCTCGCGAAACATTCATAGCCCTGATCTGATCCAAGCCCTCGGCGATCACAACGCCCATCCCCATGTGCAAATGAGGCTCGATGTGGCAATGGAACGCCCAAACCCCTGGATTGTCCGCCACAAACCTCAACGCCGTCCACCCGAACGGGAAGATCACCGCCGTGTTCTTCAACGGCGCCGTCGTCAGGTTGAACCTCTTCTCGTCCTCCTCCGCGAACCTCCCTTCCCCGTACCCCAACACCCAAAAGTCGTGCCCGTGCATGTGCCACGGGTGGACCTCGCTCGCGCCCGGTTCGAGCATGTTCGCGTTCTGCAAAATGATATCCACTGTGGTCCCGTTGACCAGCACGTACGCCCCGTCCCCCACGTTGGTGTTCGGGTTGGCCGGCGGGGCCGACACGTTGTACCAGTCGGGGAAGTTCTCCGGCGGCGGGGTCTGGTCGTAGGCGTCCTTGATGTCGTACCTGCATAGGCGCCGGCGAAGCAGGATACATGGAATTAAGATTCAGTATTCTTTCTGATACCATGTCATAAACCAATTGGTCCCAATAATTCGAGTTGTTGGGAAAAGTTCAATCGTGGATCATATACCACAATACTAACAAAGAAATGTATTTAATAAAATAAATATTATGAAGATAATCCCAACAGAATGCTTTTTAAACTTTTAATTATGAAAGTAATTATTTTTCTAATTAAAAGTGACTTATTCCCCACAAAGGAGGGAATTATTCTAGGGTTATTTTTCTCCTATAAATAGAGCAGTCTCTATACACACAAATACGAAGAACAGAAACACGAGAAAGAGTGAGATTCAGAGAACTTCAGTTTTCGCACAAAATCGTAGATGGAGCAAACTTAGTGAGTGACTGTTTTATCCAACCGACTGATACTCGTACCGTACCTGATGGCGCCAAGGTAAGGGGTGACCGGAAGGGACAGGGAGACGTTGTTGATGGCCCACACGGAGTGCCCGTTGAACTTGTTTTGGGTGCTCAGGAGGACGATCCGCCGTTCGTGGCTTTTCGGAGGCCGCGGGGTCCCGGCCGCGGCGGTGATGTTTAGGGCAAACGACTTGCTCCGACCGTAGTCGTCCCACCGGGGAGTCACCGGAGGTGGGGAGAGCGGGAACTTCGATTCTGGGGTGGGAATGTAGTTCAGTAGAGCCAGCGCTTGCGGGGTCTGAGGGAGCCTGGCGCGTACGCCGGCGGAGATCCAGAAGTTGTCGTAAGGGATCTGGTCGGCGGTGAACAGGACGGAGTAGCTCTCGCCGGAATATATGTCGATGTCGGTCACCTCAGTTCTGTTCACGTAGTTCCCGTCCGCTTCCACCACATACATTTTGTGATTCTATGACAAATACATCAAACAACAACAAAAGAGAACCCATCTTTAGATGTCTCACTTGTGATCAAAGGATGGCAAAAATACGCACAATTATTGATACTCGTCTGAATCCGACTCGATTGGGCAGGGTAAAACCCAATCAAAATAAAATACTCAATAGTAAAGGTAAAATTTGAACCCAAATATCACGGGTAATAGGCGGGTATGATTTTCTCACTATTTAATCTGAATCCAATCCGATTATGTAAATTTGATATTTCGTATAAGTAGTCCATTTTTTTATTTTTACATATGTTGTATTCCTGGTATATTATCATTTACAGCATCTCAAGAACCAATGATCAAGAAAATAAAGAAAATATATATATATATATTATCCGTGGATGTTCAAGGATACTTGGAATCCGATTGGGTTTGGACAAGGTTTTCATTTTCTACCTAAATCTTGTACATGTATAGATATTTGATAATTTTCGAAATATAATTAGGGTTGATGGAAAGTAGCTATTCGTCTACGATCCGACCTGTTGTCATCCCTACACGTAACACATTGTACACGATACTCGTGTTATATACAAAAACTAGACAAAATATGATCGACACCTACTGATCGATCGATCGATATGATTGTTGTTAGCTAGCTAGGCATCATATATAGAGAAACAACTTACTCCAATGGCTAGATTGAGAGAAGCCAAGGAAGTGGTGCTGGCAATTCTGAGCCTGTAGGTCCTGTTTGGGAACACTGATAATACGTTGGGTGCCCATTGCTCACCACCTCTAATCTCACACTGAGGCAAGGTTGCTGATTCGTTGTAGCGCGATGCCAGGGAACAATTGTACTGCCCTCTTCCATTCATCAGCAAACTCTGAACAACATTACAACAACAACAACAAAAAAAAAGACCCAATGGAGAAATGGATCAGTTATTTTACGGGGGAAATGATTGGATACAATTAAATCCAAATCCACAGAATTTCGTGTCTTATTTATTATTATCACTAGTACGAATCTTAATTACCACTCTTGAGACGACGATTGAACAGGGGTGATAATTAAAATGCGGGGTTTAGGGTTTGTGGGTTTGGATTTTGTTTGCATGTATGGGTTGTTGTGGTAAGTCAGTCATTTGATAATAAATTAATAATTTAGGATTAAGGTTTGATTTAGTCCGTGATCACTGTGTTGATCGATAATGCAAAGTAATAATTAATTACTTCTAATGGGTACAATCTAAGGAAAACGACACTCACATGATGAACAATGGGTCAGCTTTTGGATTCAAGTAATTAACTACATTGATTACTGGGGAACTATTGGGCAGAGAAATAATTAATAACAAAGATAGGGCAACTCCCA